GCATTGTCTGTGGACTCCATTTGTCCAACCGGCCCAGAGATTGAAACCTCTCACTTAAAGGAGAAGGTCACCTTTCTAAAAAAAAAAAAAAAAAAAAAAAATAAATATAAATATATATATATATATATATATTAAATGCACATTTTTTTTGCAGTTAAAAAATGTGCATTTTTTTTTTTGTAGGAGCCTGGAAAGCATTACACCCACTATCAACAGATCACGGGGTCGCAATGCAAGGTTTCTGTAGTCTGTCTGTATAGCTATCTGCTCGTACCTCATACGGGCAAGGCAGTTACACGATGACAGGAAGACTCAATGAACTACCTAGAGTGCTCAATAGAGTCCTGGTAATTCATTAAGAACTACTAGTCATCAGCCACACAGAGCCCCGCATGGCCGCGTTCTTTTCAAATTGTGACAGCGGGTGTTGGGGGAAAATCCTTGGCACGCAGTCACAATTAGCAATGGGATTGAGGGGGGACTGCAGGAGTGGGAATATTTTACATGTTCAACCTAAAAATGGGTGGAACATATGACATGTTCCCAAAGGTCAAATCATTTAACCACTTGCCAACCGCAGATAGCGAATGATGGCTTCACTGTGGCCGGCCAGTTCTGAGAGAGTGTCATATGACATCCTCCCAGAACACCCGGCGATCTCTGTGATCGCTGTCCTATGGACAACACAGCTGATCACGTGATGTGGTAAAAGGCCAATCACAGCAGCCTTTTACCATGTGATCAGCCATGTCCAATGACACAGCAGATCACCAGTAAATGCAGTTGCCGGTTATCAGCTGCACTTTCCTGTGCACGTGAAAGTACTGCCTATAACCCATGATTGTCAGAGGAGGGATCAGCACTGATCATCAGGGCACTGGTGATCAGTGCCCAGCAGTGCGACCCACCAGTGCCGCCCATCTGTGCCTAGCAGTGCCACCCACCACCTGTGCCAAGCAGTGCCACCCACCTGTGCCAAGCAGTGCCACCCATCAGTGCCCACCAGTCAGTGCCCAGCAGTGCAGCCAGTCAGTGCCGTCAAGTCAGTGCACCTATCAGTGCCCATCATTGCTGCATACCAGTGCCAGCTCATTAGTGCCACCTATCAGCGCCCATCAGTGCCTGTCATTGCATATCAGTGCCAGCTCATCATTGCCAACTCATCAGTGCCCATCAGTTCTGCCTATCAGTGCAGCCTCATCAATGCACATCAGTGAAGGAGAAAAATGACCTGTTTGCAAAATTTTATAATAGAAACAAAAGAAAAAAAAATTTGTAATCAAAATTGTTGCTCTTTTTTTGTTTATAGCGCAAAAAAAAAAACACCCAGTGGTAAGTGCATACCACCAAAAAAAAGCTCTATTTGTGTGAAAAAATGATAAAAATTTCATATGGGTACAGTGTTGCATGACCGCGCAATTGTCACTCAAAGTGTGACAGCATTTAAAGCTGAAAATTGGCCTGGGTAAGAAGGGGGTATAAGTGCCTGGTAGGCAAGTGGTTAACCTCTTGGTGCCGGCCGAACGCAAATGTACGGCCTCCCGGCGTCAGGGCCTAGACGTCGAGTGGCCGCACATTTGCGTTCTATTAAAAAAAAAACATATGTGCTGAGAGTGCGCGCACCGCATGCTCCCAGCACACACGTTCAGTACTCACGGAAAAGTACCGATCTCCTCTTTTGATCGGAACCTTTCCCAATGATGTGACAGCGAATCACGGCGGTCACATGACCCTAAAACCCTGCCTCGCCTCCCGGCTTCTGGAACCCTTAAAGGGTTGGGAGGTGCCAGCGCCAAGGGGTTAAAGTAGCAGTAAACATAATTTGCAGAAAAAAGGATTTTAATCTTCTTCCATACATTTTTGTATGATCTTCGGTTACTTTTGCAAAGGCTTCTACTTTGCAGAGTTATTTTCTCTTACTTTCCTTACTTCTTACACACATTTAAGAGAAATAGCAAAAACATTTTTGTAACATATTAGAAGAGCAGCCACCATTACTAGAGCAGTATGGTAAGGTAGCATATTTACTTTCTGTTCTTTTATTATGTGTGTCTAGCTTTTGACCAGTGGAAGCTTTCATAAACAAGATCGCTCTTAGGTGTAAGCAAGTTGGTCACAAAAAGGGTCTCATTCAGCTTCAGGCCAAAGGTGGCTGCAGTCCTTGATACCCCTGTAGTTCCATCGAAGTTAATATGCTAAATAAGCAGAATGCATCCCTGTTCTAGTTATCCCCAAAACTTGCTGTCTCCACAAGAAGCCAATGAGACACAATGAGCCTATGACTTAAAGTCCAACACCGTGAACAAAAACAAATCCCTTGTATTAGGCCCTATCCACATTGCAATGGTTAAATGCTCATTACGTTTAGGAAGTTGCAAGGGAGGCTGCATTTCTTTGAAAACTAAATCACAGTCCACACTAAAGGTGCAAGGACTCTTCAGACCCTAAAAGTCCTTGTTGGCTTGGAGTGGACAAATATTCAATCTTCTCAGTGAAGTCCACTGGAAATCTTCACCACTATAGACCACCACTGTGAGTACTGTAGCCTTGCTGCCCTCTTCAAATAGGGGAAATCCAACACTAGAACACAAGAAAAGGAAGGAGGCACACCAGTCTAGTGCACTACTGTAGGACTATTTAATAATGAAACAAGTATTCCAATATACTCACAAAAAAAAATTATGTATAAGCATATCCATATCATTCACAACACCAGATGCATGTCTACCAAAGGAGCACAACTTACCAGAGCCCCAAGAAAGAAGGCATCGCCCTTGAAAACGGCACAAGCTGCACCCTTTGGTGGATATGCATCTGATGGTGTGAACAATATTGATATGCTTATATGTCATTTTCCTTTGTGAGTATATTGGAATATTTGTTTTATTATTAAGGAGTCCTACAGTAGTGCACTAGGCTTGTGTGCCTCCTCTCTATGCTTGTGTTCTAAGGCTGTATTTCTTACCTGACTTCCCACTCCAGCTGTCTCCAGCATTGTTCTCATCTCCTTAAAGGTATGACCTGTGGGCAGAGCCTTGATGTCATCAGGTACAGTACAGAGCAGGCAGGAGTGGAATCACAACCGGGAGCATCATATAAAGGTGGTTGTGGCCTACTAGTTGCATTGATTGAGGGAGACTGCTGAAGCAGGGAGAAGGTAAGTAATAAAGCCTCTTCTGCAGCCCCCTAGACTTATTGAGAATTTAAACCCTTGCAGTGTGTGTGTGTGTGGGGGGGGGGGGGACTGCCAGGGTATTTTTTGCTGTTGTGCCCAGAGTTGAGTTTTAAGGTAGGATAAAAGAAATGTGTGAGATGCCTGTGATGGATACTGCCAATTTCTAACTACTGAACTGCACAGTGAAGTTAATAGAGTTGTACTAAGTTTAAATAGATCATGCTTTATGGCCCTAGAACAACTAGGTCGTATTGTGAGTCACAGAACTGTAACTTCCGTCTCAAGCTTCTCAAGCTGATATTGTGCTTCATGAGCAATTCCCTTGTTAAAAACTCAGAAGAAAAGGCTCTTCACGGTATTTTCAGTTACCAATTTTCCCTAATAGTTCCAATCAGTTTCCCCTATTAGTTCCTCCACACCAAAGAAATGAAAGGGAGGATCAGATTCTATGATACTGTTGGCCCAGGTCTTCCTTCAGACACTAGCATTGAATCGCCTTTGGTAATGGTGGACCGTCAGGAGACAATGCTAGGAATAAGCTACAACAGGGATCTCCATACTTTCTAAACAAAGGGCCAGTTTACTATCATTCAGACTTTAGGGGAGCTGGACTGTGGCCAGTGGGAGTAAACAATGTCCCATCTTTGGTGTTAGGGGGAGGAATAGTGCCCCATCATTGATGCCAGAGGGAAGAATAGTGCCTGATTGTTGGTGTCAGTAGCAGGAATAATGCCTCAAGGGGTGGATAAAGGCAAGCCAAGGGCTGGTCCCTGGGCTGCAGTTTGGAGACCACTGGGCTACCAAATAGACACTGAATATACAGACAAGGGGATCGCTTTAAAACTGTGCCTTTTTTTTTTTTAATTTTGCCATGTTACATTTTTGACATGCAGATGAATGTGTTTGAAACGATGTATTATTTCCATGCTACTTGAGCGTGTACCTGGTTCCTTTAACATACACTTTGTTTTTCCAAAACCACAAACATCGATCCTGGAATTTCATGTGGAAGTGCTTAAGGGGTTGAAAGTTAACACCTTTGTGAGCTGTACAGCCTCACAGTTACTGCTCAACAAAAGCCTCTTTGTAGGAACCTTTTTGAAATGTTTTCTTAACATGTTCCAAGTAGTTTTAGGCAAGTAACTAAAGTAAGCAAAATGTTACCATGATAAAAACACTTGTGAAAACATTAGAGTGCTCTCACTGGTACCCTTCATGCAGACAACACTTTCTTAAAAAATAATAATAATAAAATATAAAACGAGGGAGATTTATTAAAACTTTTTTTTCCTTTTAATTTCAACTTATATGGTGGAAAGAAAAAAAACAAAGAGGTGTGGGGGGAGGTGGGTTCAGTTAATCTCAAACTAGGTGAAAACCATCTGTATGCTTAACTTTTCATAATTAGCACTTCCTCATTCTTTAGAAAACAAACCTACACCCACAAAATAAACATTTCAAATGTGCAGAATTCAACATCAAACAACACCTTATTTGTTTCAGTTAACTCTCTAGGGTCATCAACTGTCTGCCTAGAATTGGCAATGTAAAGAATAATAAGTGAAATGTATCATTGGAGAAAAAAAATAATCAGGCAATACATAAAATTTTTTAGGGCATTGCTAATGCAATCCAGAGAACACTTTTATTTAAAAAAAATTCCAATTTACCAAGGGGCATAAAAAAAAAAAAATAATAATATACTGTTTGACTTCAGATCCCAAAACATACACTATATTGCCAAAAGTATTGGGACACCAATCATTAGATTCAGGTGTTCCAATCACCTCCATGGCCACAGGCTTATAAAATCAAGCACATAGGCATGCAGACTGCTTCTACAAACATTTGTGAAAGAATGGGTCCTCTCAGGAGTTCAGTGAGTTCAAGCGTGGTACCGTGATAGGTTGTCACCTGTGCAATGAATCCATCTGTGAAATTTCCTTGCTACTAAATATTCCACAGTCAACTGTTAGTGGTACTATAACAAAGTGGAAGCAACTGGGAACAACAGCAACTCAGCCACGAAGTGGTAGGCTACGTAAATAGAAGACAGAAGTGCACAGTGTGTGGAGAAATTGCCAAATGTCTGCAGAGTCAATAGCTAAAGACCTCCAAACTTTGTGTGGCCTTCAGATTAGCACAACAACAGTGCATAAAGAGCTTCATGGAATGGGTTTCCATGGCTGAGCAGCTGCATCCAAGCCATACATCACCAAGAGCAATGCAAAGCATGGGAAGCAGTGGTGTAAAGCATGCCACCACTGAACTATAGAGCAATGGAGACATGTTCTGTGGAATGAAAAATCACTTCTCTGTCTGCCAATCCCATGGACGTGCCTGGGTTTGGCGGTTGCCAGGAGAATGGTACTTGCCTGTCCGCATTGTGCCAAGTGTAAAGTTTGGTGGAGGGGGGATTATGGTGTGAGGCTGTTTTTCAGGGGTTGGGCTTGGCCCCTTAGTCCCAGTGAAGGAACACTTAAGGCGTCACCATACCAAGACATTTTGGTCAATTTCATGCCCCCAGCTTTGTGGGAACAGTTTGGGGATGGCCCCTTGCTGGTCCAACATGACTGTGCACCAATGCACAAAGCAAGGTCCATAAAGACATGGATGAGCCAGTCTGGGGTGGAGGAACTTGACTGGTCTGCACAGAGTCCTGACCTTAACCTGATAGAACACCTTTGGGATGAATTAGAGCAGAGACTGCGAGCCAGGCCTTCTCGTCCGACATCAGTGCCTGACCTCACAAATGTGCTTCTGGAAGAATGGTCAAACATTCCCATAGACACCCTCCTAAACCTTGTGGACGGCCTTCCCAAAAGAGTTGAAGCTGTTATAGCTGCAAAGGGTGGGCCAACTCAATATTGAACCCTACAGACCAAGACTGGGGGGCCATTAAATTTCATGTGCGTGTAAAGGCAGGCGTCCCAATACTTTTGGCAATATAGTGTATAATGAATCTTTCTTAAAGGGTAAGTTCACATTTTCACAAAAAATGAAAAAGATAACTTTAAAATATCCTGGCCAGCCCTCCTGACCCTGCAGCAGATAGTGACCCTTGTGCCCCATACTGCCAATGTACTGGTCTGTACACCAAACACTGCAATACACAGCCCTGGAGTGAGAATTCATCATAATGCTTGCAATGGCAAGCACTCATTGGTCAGTGCAACCACATTACCGCGCCGACCAAAGATCAGCGCTACTTTTTTCTGGGATACCTCACCGGTCAGTACAGTAATGTGGCTATGCTGACCAATGAGAACTTATCATTGCGAGCCTAATGTTGGATTCTCACTCAAGGGCTGTGTATTGAGGTGTACGTTCTGGAGGGATGGCCAAAATACTTTGAGTTAGTTCACCTTTTAATTTTCTTGAAAAGGTGAACTTACTGTTTAACTAACCAAAACATGGTTCATAGTCTCTCGTACAATACAAAACTTTTTTCAAACCTCCTACCCTTTGTCAAACTTACTGAAGTGCCTGTTCACACGAGTGCATTATATTAAAATATTGCACAACTACAACTTTAACGCATAAAACACAATGCTGTGTGCTGCAATTTGTTTTGAATACTGGAAAACCAGGAACATAGGGTGCACCAGCCTTTGCACTTGATCATTTTTTGAGCAGTGAAGCGTCCTCTGTAGACAAGCACATTGGGTCTTTTCTATAAGAAGGAACAGGTGGATGTACAATTGAATCAGGTTAAATATCCTAATCTGTCACTTTATCAAGCAAAAGCAGACACCTTGGCACGTCAGCAAGTAGCTTTAGTTATGCTGTAGAATATTCTGAGCCACAGAATATAGGTTATGTAATCCTCATCTTCACTTAGGATGTTGGCATCCCTAGTAACCATTCACTTTGATGGATGGCCTAACTTACCAATAGAAAGGCATAAGAGGAGTTGGGCTAGGTACCAGCTTCCTAGATGTGGTGAGATTTGCATAAGAGTTCCTTGGGTTTGGGGTTCCTGTTACTCTATCACATACTGTAGCTGCAGGGCTTGCTAATTAATGGCATGCACTTGCACTTTATTTTGCACAATTTAAAATGCAATTTCAAGCAGCAACTGAAATTGGCAACACGATACATTAATAATTAACACTCCTGCCTTGTAGTATTAGGGTTTTTAGGTTGAATCCTAACCAGGGCACTATCTGCATGGAGTTTGCACGCTCTCCCTATACTTCCTCTGGGTTTCCTCTGAGCATTCCAGTTTTTTCCCACACAGCAAATACAAGCTGATAGGTTATTGGTCCCTATCTAAATTGGCCCTAGTATGTGTATGTATACAAGTATTCACTCCCACGTTTTGTCACTTTTTCTTGCTTTTGTGTGTGTTTTTCACAGGATGGAGGGTGTGGGTCCTCGGGCCTGCCCTGAAGTCTAGGGGGAGGATGTGTGGCCTTTTGGTTCCTTCCTCCCCTGATCCCTAGGGGGTTTTCTCTTCGGGAGAGCCCCCTGACCAAGTACTGGGTCTCCGGCTGGACACAAGGAACGGTGGTCCACCAGGCCTTTTGGCCAGGAGGACCAAATGGGAACCTTGTCCCTGTCAGGAGCTTCGTGCCCCGGGGGATCAGGGTAGTGGTCCAGCCCCTTTAGGGGTAGGACAAAAGCACACCCCTAAGTGCACTTTTTCGTGTGGTGTTTGCACTTGCACATTTTTTGTGATCACTTACGGGTTTTTTTCGTTCTAGTTTGCACGTTTGCGGACTTAAAAAAAATGTGTATGTATACAAGTGTGGTGATTGTGTGAACTTTAGATTGTAATCTCATTAAAGTCAGGGACTGATGTAAATGTACAGTATGTAAAATGCAGTGTCAGTGTTATACCTTGAGCTAAAAAATTAAAAGAATTGGTCAAAAGGCTTCAGAAAATGTAATAAAAGTCATATAAAAGAATCACCTAAATATAAATTATTCTGGACCCTGTAAATCATTCCAGGGGAGCCTCTCACATGCAGGAGGGTCTGCTTCCCAAATCTGTATATTGCAATTCCTTCCACTGTGCACCATGTATCACCAATAAGTTTCAAAAGTCCAAATCAGAATTTCATCTTCGGCTAAGATGCCAGTAATTCCAAGGTAGTGGGGACATCCTAGGTGATCGAGGATCTGTGTCATCCTAGGTGAGTTAGATTGGTGGCTAACACTTTCAAACATCAAGCTTTCTGTATGTAAGGAATGGCTCTTCTGTATCACAAACAGGGGTTCCTTGAAAAAAGCAAGGCCGGGCTGTAAACCTCAAGACCCAAGAAGAATAGCCATGTTCTCCATTTGCATCTCAAAGCTTCATGTTTAACCAGAGTGCACCTTTAATGTAAGTACCACTAGAAAAGGAATTTGTCTGAGATCAATTGTAGCCAGAACATCATTTAATATCTTTGGTTTGATTTACATTTCCCTTGCTACCCAGACAAAACCTCCTTACCTCCCACTTTCACCCAGAGAACAACCTGACTGCTGAAAAAGCTGCCTTTTTTCCCCACAGTCGCAGGTGACCCAGGGGGCATATCAGTACCCTTAAGAACTATGAAAATTGTCATTTCAGAATTTTCTGTGGTTGCTATGGGCAACACAGGCAGCTTTGTTACAAACACAGTTATATATGGGGCCTTTTGTGTCTGGACAGAGAAGAATATAAAAGATTACTCACTTAAGGAATGATGGGAAATCTTCACACACAGCCTCGCAGCCTGGCCACTTGCATACACCGTGCCCATATAAGGGGTGATTCTGCATGTAGTCCTCGTGGGAGCTAAAAAAAGAAATTACATATACGAAAATCACTAATGGATCATCAACAAGCTGATTGCAAATATGAACAAATAAACACATACAGATTCCCTGGGGTGAGCTGAGCAGGCCGAGATGGAACAAGGTTATTAAAAATAACTTCCTTTTTGCATATCAAGTATTGTTTATGAAGCTGCTCAGCAAGCAAAAACAAGTGGGAACCTGTGTTGCTTTGTATACACGACACTTTACATCAAAACAGCCTTCTAGTATAATGAGTAACCAACCTGAGCTTTAACCCCTTCCCTCACCTTAACTACGGATTCAGGAAGAACTGGAAGACTGTGGTTTAATAGGATTGGTTATTTGGGAATACAAGGTTTGGTATATTTTCCTATTCTTAGCTATGCTAAATGACCAAATGTTGGCCGACATATGACTATTACACCTATAAGCCTGCTGGACATCTTGTTCCAAAACTGTTGGTATTAATATGGAGTTGCCATCTCACTTTGTGGTTATAATAGCCTCTAGTCTTCTGAAAAAAAAATGTCCAGAAGATTTTGGAGTCTGCATATAGAAAGTTTTTGCCCATCCAGCCGAAAGAGCATTTTGAGGTCAGGTACACATGTTGGATGAGAAGACCTGGCTCACTATAGGCACTCCAATTCATCCCGATTGTTCAGTAGGACTGAGGTCAGGGCTCTGTCAGGGTCATTTAAGTTTCTACACACCAAACCCATCAAACCATGTCTTTAGAAAATTGGCTTTGTGCACAGGAGCACAGTTGTGCTGAAACAAAAATGGTCTTTCCTCAAATTCTGGCTACAAGAAGAGCACAATTGTCTAAAATGTCTTTGTATGCTGCAGCATTATCAGTACCTTACACTGGAAACACCTGAACTTATCAGGTCATTTGGAGGGCTGTCCATATACACTTGTTATTGTTATGAGAATAATCTGTCTTTAGATTGGTGTATTCTGCTACTGCATACCTAAAGGTTCCCATAGACAGTGGATGACAGTTTGGCAATCCAGCAGTTTTAGGCCAGATCAAAAGATAATCTAGTACTGTCTTGTTGGGAGAATACAAAATAGATATGTTAGAAAATCTTGTTTGATGGCAGTAACAAAGGTATCTGTGGTGAACCAGTGCCACCCATCTCTACATGCCAACCATGAGCTGTTGTATGATGTGACCATTTCATTTTAAGGACCTGGCAGCCAGTATGATTAACGTATGTCAAGGGTGATTGACTTATGCTTACACATTCTAATGTCTATAGTAGCCTTAAGGATGCCCATAAACTTTAGAGAAAGCTCAGGCACACAATGACTCAACCAGACTCTGCAAAGCAATTGCAGAGTGTGCCAAAAACTTGCAAAGGAAGTGCAGAGGAAGGTTACACAAGCTTAGTGGGAATACAAGCTTAGTGTTTGGGACATTTTCCTCATCTGACAGATAAATCTTTCCCCTGACAGCTACTGGTGGGCATCTGCCACTGTAGACATGACATATTTGCTCACTCTTCGAATTTGCAGCACTTGCAATGCATTACCAGCCTGTTATGACCAATTAACTCTTCACAGTATTGTATGTTTGCACTTGTAGCTCATTGGTGAGATACTTCACTTGCACTATGGCAGTGAGGAGCTGGGGGGAAGTTTGAACAAGTTACAGAGAAAGTAGGAACAAAGACAAAAGCTTTTCATCAAGCAGATCCCATAATATTTCCTCTCTCGGGTTCCCTAATTGTACTTTAGCTTCTTGTTCTGGTCATACACATTACGATAAACCATTAATAAATCAAAGATTTTATTATTTACAACTCTTAAACTCAAAAGTAATCAATCATCTTAATGAAGGCAAAGACTGATAAAGCCTAATTCAATCACATTTTAAACTAAAACAAAGGATTCCTTTTCTACAAAAGTGAATAACTATTGATGGAACCACCTATTGATGCAATTCTTTCATCAAAACAATTCTTATATTGAACAATGATATTGTTATGTGAATGGCAAACAGCACACCTAAATCTCACAGACTGTCAGGAATGGACTTGCCAATAATGGTGGGACTCACCTGCCTTGTGGGCTGCAGTACCAGGGCTAGCCAGCGGGTGCTCTCAGCAATCAGAGACTCACCCCTGCAATCAGCCAAGCACCTGAAGCTGATTGCAGAGGTTGTATTTAAGGAATGGCCAGACTCACAGTCAGGGCCTTGGTGTGTGTTTTTCCATGGGCCCCTGTACCTTGTATCCTGTATTCCTGTTCCTGTCTGACTTGTTGCCGACCCTGCCTGATCCTCACCTCTGCTGACTTCTCCTGCTTGATCCCTGGCTTGTTACCCTGACCATTCTCTGCCCGACCCTCTGTACCGCGCTGCCTGTGAGTTACTGAACCCAGCTTGTGACCCCTACCACTCTCCCGCCTGTTCCCGGTACTCCGTTTGCCCGTTTGCTACTGACCCGGCCTGCCTGACTACTCTTTGTATTGTATGTATTGTTATCGGTGGGTGGCTTGGTTTGTTTGCACCGTGTTTATGTTTAGTTTTGCACTGTGTTTTGTATTGTTAGTCTTAATAAATTATATTGTTTATACCATATCTGAACCCTGCATTTCCCTGTGTTAGTCCACACACCTCTGGTCATACCTGGAGCCCTGACACAGACCCTGTATGGTACAATGTATACAGCACTAAGTAATGAGACATATGGTAAGGCAATGAGGCAAAACTCAAAAATAAGTGTACTAATGCTGACAGAGTAAAGTGTATAGGTATATTTTAGTAGAGGAATACAATGAAGTTCCTGAGTACACATCTGTTGTGCCATTGCAATGCTCCTCTTTAGCAATCACTGGACATTGCATTGGAGCCAGACTCCCTAGCACAATAAAAATGGCAGATTTTATGTAATTAAAGTACCAGAGTTGCACTCCCATAAAGCCCTGTACACCATGTATGCTAAGCCCTGTCTTCTTTTCCTGCTGGTTTGTGACCAGTTCAGAAAGCTATACCTCCATTTAAAACATAAGAGGAAACTAAATAAAGGTTCTTTGCTTTGCCTACAGCTCATATATATCCCAGTTTACCTCTAATAATTCCTTCATTGGCAGAACAAAAGCCAAAATAAATATTTACATTTTGTGCCTAGTAAAAAGGAAATCAATATCCTAATATGATCATCACGTAGTAATAGTTAGTCACATTGAAGTGGACATGTTCTCTAATATCTTACCATTCATCCAAGTGGCTTACTCAGCCCTTGGAGTCAGGAACATAACCCAACATTTATAACAACAATGGTATTTTTGTACTAAATGCTGTATTATGTTTCAGACATTCATTTGAGCTGAGGAAGCCACTTGGATGAGTGGCAAAACATCTTCAAGTCTGGCTGAATATGACCAACTGCTATTAGCTATACAATAACCTGGATAATTGAGAAACTTTACAGACATCCTACAAAATACAAGTGTCACAATTGTTCCCATCACATACCAACCTATTGCCATGCACCTTTCATAAACAGAAAATAATACATTACAAAGTTTATTTTATCCATGTGACTGTGATAACAAGGGGTTAACCCTTCATCAGAAATCTCCCAATCAATACTTCGAGATTTAGCCTCACTGATCCAAGTCATAAGATGCTTTGATCCTAAGCACGTGCTTGTCAGACAGACAGGCCTCCTGCAACAACTGATGAACCATATTTAGATGGGGGGGTGATTTGTAAGGGAGGAAATCATTCTTAAGTTTTGCAGGGACAATCTAATTTTCTAGTAACATTATTATTTCTGGAAGGATTCTAAAAATCCTGACAAAGGTTTCCAAGAAAACCAAACAGCTATAGCTAGGGATTGAGACCCTACATAAAAAAGAGGAGTTTAGCAAACAACGAGAAAAAAAGAAAACAAGAAAAAAGGGTAATAAACTGAGTTATACACTCCTAATAATCCATTACTGTTCTCTGTGTGATTTAACTCTCCCTTTGGGGCTGCACTGGATTCTGCACTGTCCATCGCCAGACACATACTCACAAATCTAAGGATAAATTCAACATGTGTCAGATCGTTCATGGTCTACATGCTGCAGTTCAGGCCTCTGTTGTTCCTTAGCAGGGAGGGTGACTGTGCTTTAAAGGAATGGGATGATGTGTGCTTATTTATTTAAAAGATAGCACAAAATAAAATCTGCCTGTACAGGACCACTATGACTTGCCAAGCTTCTCAAATGGCCACGCAGCCACAATTCTTTTTTGAGATTTTCAAATTGAATATACTTTTTCTGCAATAACACATACAGTATATCCATTTGTTTCCTCATAAATAAAAAGGTAGCCTCTTCATTAACATGGACCTAATTTTACACGTTTTGGGGCAATATTTTATGCATATTGAATTGTATTAAAGGGCCAGCTTACCCAATATTGACATTTGAGTCCAATGTGAAGCCTGGTGGGCTAAGGCAGCCCCTTGAGTCTTAAATGTTTTCATTTACATTTTGGGAGTTTCTGCCCATCTTTGTGTGTTTCAGTTCCTTCTATTACATTTTCCATCATAATACGCAAATATAAAATCCAACATGGAGAGTAGGAAGCCTTCATAGCAAGTATGCAAATGTGCACACTATGGGGGAGATTTACTAACAATGGAGAGAGCAAAATCAACAGCAGCTTAACTGAACAAGCTGTCATTAAAAGCAGATTGGCTACCATGCACAGATGCACCAGATTCTGAGTGCTCCAGTTTTAGTAAATCTCCACCTATATGTCTTAGTGAACTGTCTTTGGTAGAGAAAAATTTCAAAACTTTAGAGTTGTCACAGAATAGGAGGTGAGGGAGAATCTCCCAACCTGTTCCAGTTACAACTCTTACCTTCTGGTGTGCTCCTGGGGCAGGAACTGAAGGAACATCTCTCCAATGAGGCACAGATAGCAAAGAAAAAAACATGATGGGGTCTTAGCGTTCTTCAGATGGACAGTCTGGGGGGGGCAGCAAAAACAGGCTACTG